TAAATTGCACTGTACTTTTTTAACTATTGACATTTTTAAAGATATAAGCTCATCTCGATGTTACACTCATCGAGACCTTTCATTTGAGTACCCACATCAATTTTTTATATATTTTATATATTTATATTTATTATATATATAAATATATGAGAAATATATAAAAAAATGCATGTGGGTACTCAAATGAAAGGTCTCGACGAGTGTAACATCGGGATGAGCTTATATCTTTAAAATATATATTATATATATGTATATATGAAAAATATATGAAAAATGCATGTGGGTACTCAAATGAAAGGTCTCGACGAGTGTAACATTAAGATGAGCTTATATCTTTAAAAAGTTCAATAGTTGAGAAAGTACATCGCAATTTAACAAAAGTCATTATTTAAGAAAGCAAAATTTTATTTATTAAATAATTTTATAAATAATATCAATCTGCAGAAAATCGCGAAATAGAAAATTTAAAAAAATAATTTTTTATTAAATACTCTTACATTTTTCTCTTATAAAATCAATTAGAAGAAATTTTATACGAAATTTAATAAATAAATTTTTTATAAACTATCAAGCAATATACCGAATTGTTGACAAGACTAAGAAGCTAACCACTGACAAGACCAACGGCCTAGAACTTAACCCTCGTTTGATCCAGATCACGAGGGTGATCAAGAATAACTTAGTGTGCTTGCGTCTAGTCCAAAGAAGACATATAACACAACAGACATAATATAATATAATAGAGTAAGAGTAAGTGTATATATTAAACTCGGAGAGTGGTCGTTGTGTTCATTAATATTTCATTTGGTGCTTATCGTTCTCCAGGACAGCTCAGTCCTTCTGCCCTGGAGGCATCGTTACTGGCTCTGTTCTCTGTTCGGAGAGCCTTGGTCGCCATTTAGCTGGAGGCGCCATACCAGGCACATTGTCTCTTGCCAGCCTCCAGCAGCAGCTTCACCAAAATTCACTCTTTCTCTCTCCAGTTTCTTCTCTTCTTTCCTCTTACGTAGACTATAGACTATAGACTTCTATGCAGCTCTCGGCATCTACATCTACATCTGGATGATTCTGGACGGTATGCCCCGTCTACCCGGAGAACACTGGGAACAAAATCCCCCGATTAAAATAAAAAACCGCACAATCTCCGGTCGTTTCCGTACCCGGAGCAGCAACCAGCAACCAGGAACCTCGTCCCCGCCCGAGGCTGCCCCTTTCTGCTGGCACCAGGTCGGGTCTCCCTCTGTGTTCCGTGTGTCCTTCTCCTCTTTATCTCCAGGGCATCCTTCCAAGCGCGGCATTATTCCCGCCTGGCCTCAGGCTCTCACAATGGCTCTCTCTACCTTGCAATGGCTCTGCCTGCATTGCCTCAGGTCATACCCTCCTCTTCTTATTCCTCATTCTCTTCTTCGTCATCGTCTTTATTTTTATATTGTATGTAATTTTTTTTTTGCTTTTTTTTTGGAGTATACAGTAAAGCTTGATAACTTTAAATTTCTTAAGAAGGGAAGGGGTATATAAATAAAAATAAAAGACATTTTTTTTTTTGTACTTATTAAACGTAAATCTGTTTGATCCGCTTGCTAAATTTTAATCATTGGAATTGATAATTATTAATATATATATATATAATAAAAAAAATTTTTTAATATTTGATAAGCTTTATTAAATATTAATAAATTATTTTTTAACATAAAATGATTTCGTTGTACGTGGAGAGAATTAAAAATTTTAAATAAAAAATTTTTATACTAAATTATTTATTAAAGTTTCTTTTAAAAACCCCCTTGAGAAATTTCTTAACATAAAAAATTTTTATAATTTTTTTTTCTTATTTCAAAACTTAGCTTTATTTTAATTCTAAATTAATTTTATTTGTCAAAAAAATTTTGGCGTGCATTTTATTTAAGAAATTATATTAATACACTGAGAGAATTAAATTACAATAGCGCCATCACGATACTAATACACAACATACTTGACGTGATCCACAATCTACAACCTTACGCTGTAATGTTTGAGCGCAAGAATCCATACACTCACCTCCATGATGACGACAGCGGTCTCGGTACTTGCTTTTCACTAAAAATTATTTATTTTTTTTAAAAATTTATAATTATTATTTATACTTTAATTTTTCGGAATTACATACCGACAGAACAACAGGGTAATCCATTGGCACAATATACTGATGTGCTACGTACTGGTTGCTCGCATTGTTCAGCTTTAATACAATTTTCAGGTGGGCACATTTCTCGCCCAGCTTCAACTATATTTTAATTTTTTTTTAATTTATTTATTTGCTTATTAATAATTTTAATTTTAATTTTAATTTTAATGCCAAGGCAAAAAGTCAAGTGTCAAAAAAAAAAAAAAAAAACATTTAAAAAATTTTCAAAATATTTTTATTACTAATTTTCAATTATTTTAAAGTAAAAATTCTAAATTTGTTATTAATTATTGTTTATTGTTATTAATTAAATTAATTAAAAAAAATAAAATAAAATAAAAATTCTTAATTTGATTTATTAAATTAAAAATTTTTAATTGATTAAATTTCAATTACAAAATTAATATTGAAAAAATTTCTCTTTAGATAAAAAAGAAATTTTTTTAAAAAAATTGAATAAAAAAATTTTTGATATTATTTTAAAATTAAAAAAAAAATAATATATTACTTAATATACATATTTTAGAATAATTATCTTCAGTACAACAATTTGTATATAATTAATTATTATATATTTATCAAATATCGCGATTACCAGAAGCTAATAATTACGACTCACTATTTTAATTTATTTACAAGTTAAAATTCAAAGATAAAAAAAAATAAAACCAACCTTGAAGATATGCAGAAGCGAGAATAACAACGAAAATAGCAATGAATCCTTTCATTTTTAAAATAATTAATATTGTTGTCCGAAAGACTGTCGACGTTTCAATGATGTTATTTTCAATGCTCACCGTTATATAAACGCACGCATCGTTGTCACATTATTTGTATCAGCTCGTTACAGATACATACATACATATATATATACATGTATTAGTACAACAATTATAGATATACCGCACAGGTTTGAAGTAATAATAATGATAATAAAAGCAACATATCGCAATGATTATTCATATTGTAAAATAAAAGTCAAACAATAATATTTCATGAGATTCCCAGTGGCAATAACAATGAGGTACATTAATGATTCATGCCTCTTCATAACGCGGTATAGAGTTGTAAATTATCTGCAATAAGGAAATGAGTAAATATACTTATTGATTAAGAGAAATATTTGAAAATAGTTTCATAATATAATTTAATTAATTGTCTTTTTTATCTAAAGAGGATGCACTTAGAGAAGAAAATTAATTTCTTCATTATTTTTGTGAAAATTATAACGAAGATAATTTGACAGTAATTTTTTATTGATTAATAATTAATATTTCATGTTATTAATTAAAAAGGCGTATTAAAAAATTTTTTCTAATGAAAAACAAAAAAAAATAATAATCGGCCGAAAAAAAATTTTTATTTTTCAAATTTTTGGTTAAAAAATTCAAAGTTTCAAATTTTTGACTATAAAAATTTAAAATTGTAAATTTTTGGCTTTGATAATTGAAAGTTAAAAAAAATTTGAAATAAAATTGAATTTTTTTCAATTTTTCTAGCTAAAATTTTAAAATTTTCAATACTTAAAACAAAAAACTGAAAAATAAAACAAATAAATTTTTTTTTAAGTCAATAGAGCCTCAAAAATTTTTATTTTTTAACTTTTTTGTTAAAAAATTAAAAATTTCAAACTTTTGACTATAAAAATTGAAAATTTTTAATTTTTTTTTCAATTTTTCCAGCAAAAATTTCTAGATTATCAATTTTAAAAATAGAAAATCGAAAAGTAAAACAAACAAATTATTTTTTAAGTCAATAAGAGCCTTAAAAAATTTTATTTCTATTTTTTTGATTGAAATTTCAAAATTTTCAATTTTTAAAACAGAAAATTGAAAAAAAAAATTTTTTTTAAGTCAATAGGGCCTCAAAAATTTTTATTTATCAATTTTTTTGTTAAAAAATTGAAAGTTTCAAACTTTTGAATATAAAAATTGAATATTTTTAATTTTTGGCTTTGAAAATTGAAAATTTAAAAAAATTTGAAGTATTTTGAATTTTTTTTCAATTTTTCTAGCGAAAATTTCCAATTTTAAAAATAGAAAATTGAAAAAAAAAATTAAATAATTTTTTTTTAGTCAATAGGGCCTCAAAAGTTTTTATTTCTAATTTTTTTTTATTAATATTTCCTAAAATTCCTTAATTAAGTAGAGCAAAAAATTTTTTTTCTTAATTTTGACATTAATAACCCAAAAAATAAATTAATAAAAAAAATTAAAATATTTCAAAAGAAGAAATAAAATTAATGAAAAAAAAACAACTTATCAGCTAACAAATGATTTCCTTTTCCTAAAACTATGAAGATAAAATAACAGCGACAGAGATAATAAATACAGGAATAATAAAAGTGAGATTAAGATTAAATTTAAGTTGACGTTTGACGTAGAAGACTCTTCCATAAATCGTATTTGCGAAAGAAGAAAAATAAATTTGCCTCAAACAAAAGATAAAAGAGTTTAGAGATACTGAGATCGGGACGCCAGTACCAGTTTAACAGAATGAGTAACTTACTGATGAGATGATCAGTTGATGGTGAGTCATTACTGTCCTTACTGTCAATCAATTTGTACGATTTCTCGCAAATACTCTGGAGAAAGTCTTAACTTCTTTATCATTATTTTCTGATTCAGATTATTTTTTTTTTCTTTTTTTGTTTTGTGATTTGCAGAGTATAGAGCCTATGGCGACAGGGTTGTTCTTTCGATTGAACCTATGAGAAATAAGTTTAAGATAAGTGCATCTTTTTATGCCTATACATATATATATATATCTATATACTTAGCTTCACAAGAGGGTGAGGTGAGGATGATAGGGAGGTTCAAAAGGTCGAGAGACGATCGTTTGGTTTCTCGTGCGAGCACAAACTCGTTTGGTTCCTCGAAGCATCTCCGTAAATGTGGGCGAGATCGATCTTTTACTTGGGATTTTTCAACAATTCCCCCGAGCTAATATCGTCTCGATCCCATCGATTCTACCTAAGGGAATTAGATTAATACTTTAAATTCTTATCAATTATTGTTATTTTTTATTAACTTTATTTTATGACTTTATTACTCTATTTTTTGTTTTTCGGCTTTCCGGTCATCGAGATATATCAATATTTTGCTGGGAATTTTTTTATAAATATGTATATAGTGAAGATCTTGAAATATCGAGGTTAATATTGTAGGTGTTATGTCAACTCAGTTATGAAATAGTTCACTTGGTAATGTTTAAGTATGTAACATTGAAATTTAAATTATTTATTTTTCTTTACAGTGGAAGATTTTTTATAAGGAAGAGTTACTAAATAACTATTAAATTAATTACTGTTAAAAAATTATTTATTAAGAGACTTTATTATTTTAAGAGAAATTTAAGTAGTAAAAATGATTATCTAGTTATTATTGAAGAATTTTTTTTTAATTAACTAACATTATTACTAACTTGTGTTAAAATGAACTGTACTTTCTTAAATATTGACGATTTTAAAGATATAAGCTCATCCTGTTGTTACACTCATCAAGAGCTTTCATTTGAGTACCCACATGCATTTTTTATATATTTTTCATATATACATATATATAATATATATAAATATATGAAAAATTGATGTGGGTATTCAAATGAAAGGTTTCGATAAGTGTAATATCGGAGTGAGCTTATATCTTTAAAAATGTCAATAATTGAAAAGATATATGTAATTTCTTAATTATTGACATTTTTTAAGATATAAGCTCATCCCGATGTTACACTCATCAAGAGCTTTCATTTGAGTACCCACATGCATTTTTCATATATTTTATATATTTATATATATATTATATATATGTATATATGAAAAATATATCAAAAATGCATGTGGGTACTCAAATGAAAGGTCTTAATGAGTGTAACATTAGAATGAGCTTATATCTTTAAAAATATCATTAGTTGACAAGATAGCAATGTCATTTCTTAATTATTGATATTTTCTTCAAATAATTTCTTAAATAACAGGCATCGCAATTTTTTTTTAGAAAAAAAATTAATTTACTAGTAATTAAAATTGAAATAATAAATAATTTTCATTTCTGAAATTTCTATTTTATAAATTCTTACCGTTAAAACTGTACTCCAGAATATTTAAATACGCGGGTACCAGCTGGTGATATCTAATTGAGCAATAAAAAAAGTTAACATAATTATCGAACAAGAAAGTTAATAAAAATAGTAAAACATGAATTAATAATTATCGATTGTCTTATTTTTAATAAGACCTAATTAGTTCCATAGAATTTGTTTATCTAAAATTGTATAAACAATATAAGCCATACTTGTAATTTATAATTAATCCTTAATCTAATCACACTTATTTTTAAATATTTTTATCTCAATTTTCCTCCTCATCATTCAGGCTCGCAGAGTCATCTGCGTCCAATTCTCTGTACTCAAATCACAAGCTTCTTTATCGATTGCTCGACGGCTGTGTTCTTCATATTCTTCAGATGGAACATAAATATCCTATTAAGTAAAGAAGAAATAAGAGGATTTATTTTTTTAAATTCTAATCGTTGATTTATTAAAAATTTTCTATGAGGCGTACAATCAGTCTACCCTTATAAAATAGACCCTAATTATTTATTAAACAAACTATATTTAAAACGGCCTCACGTGAGTGAAAATATAAAAATGCGGTAAGCGATTCCCGCTGAGATTCAATTAAATATTATATTATACATTTTAGATTTAATTATTCGACACTTATTATTATTACTATAACTAATTACAATTTTATAAACATAATTACAATAATGATTGTGAAAAGTTACAAGTGTATTAATTAATTAATAAATATCTATGTACATTAGTGATTTATAATTCCTGAGAAGAAATCTAATTTAAAATTATTTAACACATGCTAAGTGTAACACAAATTAATTATAATAATTTTAAATTAGATTTTTTAATCAGGAATTAGAGGAATAAATATACATTCGCAAATAAATTTATATAATATTATCGTGCGTAAAATTAATTATAAAAATAATAATAATTACATTACTTCATTATATTTAAAATAATAATAATAATTAATGAACTAAGGAACACACTGTGACATACCGAGTAATAATTGTTACATCGAGCACCATATATATAACTCGCACACAATTTTTAATATTCCTACATAACTATATAAAATCTATGAGTTTAAATTTACTGTATATAACTATAATAATCAATACAGTAGTCACAATTTATAATCTATGTTTAGATACATAACTAAGAAATGACCTCTTATCTTGTGAAATATTGACATTTTTAAAGATATAAGCTCATCGAGACCTTTCATTTGAATACCCACATCAATTTTTCATATATTTTGTATATTTATATATATTATATATATGTATATATGAAAAATATATCAAAAATGCATGTGGGTACTCAAATGAAAGGTCTCGATGAGTGTAACATCAGGATGAGTTTATATCTTTAAAAATGTCAATATTTAAGAAACGACATAGTATCTAAAAATTGATGTGGGTACTCAAATGAAAGGTCTCGATGAGTGTAACATCAGGATGAGTTTATATCTTTAAAAATGTCAATATTTAAGAAACGACATAGTATCTTGTGCATAATTGACATTTTTAAAGATATAAGCTCATTCCAATGTTACACTCATCGAGACCTTTCATTTGAATACCCACATCAATTTTTCATATATTTTGTATATTTATATATATTATATATATGTATATATGAAAAATATATCAAAAATGCATGTGGGTACTCAAATGAAAGGTCTCGATGAGTGTAACATCAGGATGAGTTTATATCTTTAAAAAGGTTAATAGTTCAAAAAGTACAGTGCAATTTAATGAAATTCATTATTTTATAAAGAAAAATTACAAAAAACAGTATACAATAATTATTAGCATAATTATAATTAACTACATACATGTATGATTAATATTAATATTAATTATATAAAAATTACAGAGTCGTATGGTGAAACAGGAAGATTATTTTTCGTATTCTTAATATCACAGTCACGAGAGGCAGAAAATAAAGTTTTATAAGAAGAAGGTCAGACTTCCTGTGCGAAATCTTTGGTGAGATGAATACGAAAAAAAAAAAAAAAAAAAAAAACACCTTGTTAATTGTTTAGAATCGCGGCTCCACATATTTTACAAAATTAAAAAAAAATTATTTTTATTCTTTGTAAGTCTTCTGACTTTTTATTTATTCAATAACACTTAGATCATTTAATAGGAATGATAGTCCGTTTTGACGTTAATTTCCTTATAGTTTTTTAATATGAGGTCAGCGCAAGGCCTCAATTGTAACACCTCGATCAGATGTAATTGTAACACACGCGTTATGCGCTTACCGGTTGTTTGCTCAGCTTAACCTTTATGGCTCCAATAACAGATACTATTTTATAACTCTTGATGCCAGTGCAGTTATAAAGTCATTAGATATTAAATGTGTTGACATTGTTGTGCATAATTTGAAAAATTACAATAATTTAATTCGTACTATAATCTGTACTTTTTATAAAATTTAATTTTTATTTTTATACTATATAATAATTTTTATTATTTATTTTTATAAGCTCATTCCGATATTACACTCATCGAGACCTTTCATTTGAGTACCCACATCAATTTTTCATATATTTTATATATTTCATATATACCATATATATGAAATATATCAAAAATGTATGTGGGTACTCAAATGAAAGCTCTTGATGAGTGTAACATCAGGATGAGCTTATATCTTTAAAAATGTCAATAATTAAGAACTGACATTTTATCTTGTGAAATATTGACATTTTTAAAGATATAAGCTCACCCCGATGTTATACTCATCGAAGACCTTTCACATCAATTTTTCATATATTTTATATTTTCATATATACCATATATATGAAAATATATCAAAAATGTATGTGGGTACTCAAATGAAAGCTCTTGATGAGTGTAACATCAGGATGAGCTTATATCTTTAAAAATGTCAATAATTAAGAACTGACATTTTATCTTGTGAAATATTGACATTTTTAAAGATATAAGCTCACCCCGATGTTATACTCATCGAGACCTTTCATTTGAGTACCCACATCAATTTTTCATATATTTATATATATCATATATATGTATATATGAAAAATATATAAAAAATGCATGTGGGTACTCAAATGAAAGCTCTTGATGAGTGTAACATCAGGATGAGCTTATATCTTCAAAAACATCAATACTTAAGAAAGTACAGTGCAATTTAACTAGAGTCATTATTTAATAAAGCAAAATTTTATTTATTTATAATCTTCAAATCACGAAAATCACATAGTAAAATTGTACTAAAAATTGACCCGAAATTCTTTTTTATAATTTATTTATTAAAAAAAAATCTTAAAAGTTATAAAATTAAAGTCCCACAAACTCTTAACCTCATAAGCTTTTCCTCAAGACCAAAAAAAAATCTAAATTAGAACACGTTATCCACGGAAGTGACTGGCAATAAATAAAACTGACAGCTTGTAACTTAAATGATAAGTGGAGCCTCGAGACAGAACAATTACCCAATAACAATATTTTGTTAATTATAATAAAGTATCGCAATAATGTTATTATGTTTTAACGACAAAACATTGACTTTAGACATTATATCATTGTTATCATTATCATTAGTCGGTCTGCAAAAAATCACTTACATAATTCCACTGTCTGAGTTAATTATTGTTCGTTATTATTAAAAATAATTCTTCGGTTTAAATCTAATTAATAATTTCATATTTTTTTTCCTTCAACCAGCTTTTAAGAACACGCACACTCAAGAACCCTCATATTTTTCCAGCTGGAGACTTTAAGCTTGGTAGGATCGTTTTCGTCAAAATAAAGAATCTCAAGCTCGGCAAGTTTGCTGGGCGCGCAACAGGGTCTGGGCGCTTTACGCTTGTCCTCTTTCCAGATCAAGCTTTGAAGAAGCGCATGGTGGTGCGCAGGATTGTACCGAGGAGGACACCGTCCTTTGCAGTACCCAGCGTCAAAATTTTTCGGCTGAACTATGAACTCAAACCCTTTTATGTCTTTGAAGATCACCGTCATCTCATGGCGGCAGCACTTTTTGTTATTATCACGGCATTCTGTCCTACGACCCTTGTGAAGCGACATCAGCTGCTCGTGAGCCGACCGGCGTCTTCGCGAGCTGTGGCTCGTTGTGAACACGTTAAAAACTGGGTGAGAAAAGACGATGTTGCTCCTAACATGACTCTCCAAGCGCAGCTCCAGGCCCAAATTGTCCTCCAGAGCTTCGTGCCAGTAAGCAGCAGCCTCCGTGGTGTCCAGCTCGATCCACCGCGGGCCCGAGAGTCTTTGGATTGTTTCTCGGGTCACCAAGTGTCGCGAGGAGTTAGTCAGTCTGTAAATTGATACTTCTATTGGCGCTTCTTCAAGGTCTGTCGTCAGGAACAGCCTCAAGTTCGCGTGCTCTACTTCGCTGTCCACTGGCATCTCCACTGGGAAGAACAGGTGGTGGTGCTCGTTTTCTATCGCTTGTCTTTTTACTCGACTCGGCACTTCTGGAAAAATAGTTTTTAATTATTATTTTATTTTAATAAATTAATTACATTGAAAAATTTTTATTAATAATCTAATATTATTAAGAGAATAAGAAAAATTTTGTGTTGGGGATATTCATATTATAAAATCAATTTTTTAGTGAAATTTAGTGTCATTGCTAAGTGATTTGAATCTGTGCCTTTTCATATCATTCTCACTGATAGTCAATTTATTACGATACGGATTTAGACTGCATTCGAAAAAATCTCTAGATTCATAATTGAGAAATGACCTTGTATCTTGTGAATTATTGACATTTTTAAAGATATAAGCTCATCCTGATGTTACACTCGTCAAGACCTTTCATTTGAATACCCACATCAATTTTTCATATATTTTATATATTTAGGTATATTATATATATGTATATATGAAAAATATATCAAAAATTCATGTGAGTACTCAAATGAAAGCTCTTCATGAGCGTAACATCAGGATGAGCTTATATCTTGAAAAATGTCAATAATTAAGAACTGCGACTTTGCTATCTTCTCAAATAATGATATTTTCAAAGATATAAGCTCATACTGATGTTACACTCATCGAGACCTTTCATTTGAGTACCCACATGGCAATTTTTATATTGCTATCTTGTCAACGAAAGATATTTTTCAAGATATAAGCTCAGTCCGATATGACACTCTTCGAGATCTGTCATTTGACTACCCACATCAATTTTTCATATATTTATATATATCATATAGATGTATACATATGAAAAATATATGAAAATGCATGTAGGTACTCAAATGAAAGCTCTTGATGAGTGTAACATCATGATGAGCTTATATCTTTAAACACATCAATAGTTAAGAAAGTACAGTGCAATTTAACTAAATTCATTATTTAATAATGCAAAATTTTATTTATTTATAAAATAAAATTTATTTTTATACTTTCCAAAGAAAAAAATAGCCCGGAAAATAAAGCGATGAAAAGAGCGTGGGCGCTCTCGGAATTCTCGGAATCTAAGATATTTAGAGGTACTTTTTTAAACAGTGAATAAATTGCGATGACTCGTCGATTCTATTTAATAGTTTTTAGCCAAGTGTGAATAGAAGATATAGAAGATATACGTATTATATATATAATAAATAACAAATTATATATATAGCTCGGATCTCAATAGTCAATATCGTATCAGGGCGTAATCTATGGAAGAAATAAAGTTTGATACGCAGCTGAACTTAAATAGAGCCGAGCGTCTCAACTGACTAATATATAGCAATATATAATAAGATTAATAAGAGAAGTAGAGAGTAAGAGGCTTTATCACTCACTCACATGGCACTCGATTAAAAATAGATACAATTCAACGTGTGGCGCCTTCCCACGCACTTGCCGTTTAAGCGCCAAAGATGCGTGGGATAAGATTTGTATGACACGCGCGATCTCACCTTGTGTGTAATGTGTAATGTAGCAACACCTTTTTAGTTTTTTAATAGTACGAAATTTTTCCCAACGCTCAACACACTCTCTAGTATTTCTTCTTTATTTTTTTTTTTTTTAAATTATTATATATATTTTTAACGATTCAAAGAAACGATGTCGTAAAGTCATTCCTCCCCGTCATTCTGGGCAAGCAAATGTGTACAACCCATTGTCGGTGACATTTTTACGAGGCGGAAGTTGGAATAGATGTGTGATGACAACTTGACATACTCAGTTTTCGGTGCCCTTACTTATCTATACTTTGCCTCATCATCATCAACATCATCACCATCATCATCATCAAAAGCTAACAAATTTAATATTGCCGTTAATTATTTTAACATCCTTTCAATTTTTTAAAATCTTTCAGTTCTTAAGTTTGTTCTATTTTATGATTATTTTTAAAATACACATTTCTTAATTTTTATTCTCACTTTTTTCATTTCTTCTCCTAATTTTTTTTTATTTTTATCCCTTGTATTTAAAATTTTTAAATTAAATAATTAAAGATTTAAGCTTCGAAATTTAATAATTTTTCTTTTAATTAATAATGAATTATTGACCTTGTATCTTGTGAATTATTGACATTTTTAAAGATATAAGCTCATCCTGATGTTACACTCATCAAAACTTTTCATTTGAGTACCCACATCAAATTTTCATATATTTTATATATTTATATATTTCATAAATACCATATATATAAATATATATTAAAATTGTCATGTGGGTACTCAAATGAAAGCTCTAGATGAGTATAACACCGGAATGAGCTTATATCTTTAAAAATGTCAATAATTAAGAAATGACCTTGTATCATATGAACTATTGACATTTTTAAAGATATAAGCTCATCCCGATGTTACACTCACGAAGACCTTTCATTTGAGTACCAACATCAATTTATATGAAAAATATATCAAAATGCATGTAGGTACTCAAATGAAAGCTCTTGATGAGTATAACATCGGAATGAGCTTATATCTTTAAAATATATATTATATATATGTATATATGAAAAATATAACAAAAATGCATGTGGGTACTCAAATGATAGCTCTTGATGATTGTAACGTCGGGATGAGCTTATATCTTTAAAAACGTCAATATTTAAGAAAGTACAGTGCAATTTAACAAAAGTCATTATTTAATAAAGCAAAATTTAATTTATTTCTTCTTTAATTAATTTTTTTTTTAATTTATTAAATTTTTCTTCTCAACATTAAAAAATATTTTCATCGAAAATAATAAAAAATGTAATAATTATTTTTCAGCTACTGCATTGATGTAAACTTTACATTGTACATTCCATCGGAATTTCTATTTCGTAAGAAGCCAGCCAACATCTCTATTAAATCCATCTTAAATACATTAAATTAATACATGTGTATATACTAAAAAAGATGTAAAGGTACGGTAAGATAATTAATGACATGACTAATGCTAATATATGAGTATATATACACGGACATATCCACTAATTTAATATTATTAGACATTATACATTAGATATAAGATATTAGATATCTCAGATGAGTTTAATTCAGTTAATTCAGTTTTTTTGATCATAGGTCTCCTATCGATATCTCGGAAGACTACTACGAGATTAAAAACATAATAATGATAATGATAATTATGATAAACACGGAAAAAAATAAGGTGAGGAGGAAAAGAGATTGCCGATACTGTAAACATACAAGCTTAGTATACTGTTAACATTAAATATTAAATCTCAATAGTGAGATAAGTTAGAAAATTGCTTGGACAAATCGAGGTCAGGAGACTTCGTCCCGTCTCATCAGACGAGAAAACGTGGACCGGAAACGGGCCCCAGCTTGACCCCGCGACTACTGGAGCTCCTGTGCTCATTGACTATACATATATATCTTCACGTACATATTTTCTGAGATGACATACAGAATGTCCGGTTATGACGAGTCAGAATAAACAGGATGCAAGGAATTACCATCCACTCGCCTCCACATAAGTCTTAGACTTTTAAACCGTGAAAGTCTTTCTAATTAACTTTAATCTTTCATTTTTTTGATTTTAAATTCACCGAGTATTTATATATATTTTTTTTTCAAGTGTTTCGATAATTTATTGCTTGAATATATTTTTAATTATTTTACATGTCAGAAGGCTTTAGCTAAACATTTTTTTGAATAATAAAATATTATGACATTATATCACGCTATTAATTTATCAATAATTCCGAGAAAATTGCTCAATAGTCCATGAAAGTCAACTCTTATAAATAATTAAAAGTGAAACTTGGATTTACTAACTAATATGTCGTTTAATTTAATTATTTATCATTTTTAATTTGATTATTTGTAGCTGGTAATTCGGTTTGAGGAAAGTTTAAAAAATAATTTTTTAGATTTTATAATAATAATCTAGATTATTAAAAGAATAAGCAAAATTCAATACCAATAGTCAATTTATAATAATAAGTATTTAGACTGGATTCGAAAATACTCTATCTTTAGATACGTAATTAAGAAATGACCTTGGATCTTGTGAAATATTGACATTTTTAAAGATATAAGCTCATCATGATGTTACACTCATCAAGACCTTTCATTTGAGTACTCACATCAATTTTTCATATATTACATATATTATATATATATATGTATATATGAAAAATATATCAAAAATTCATGTGGGTATTTAAATGAAAGGTTTTAATGAGTGTAACATCGGGATGAGCTTATATCTTTAAAAATGTAAATAATTAAAAAAGTACAGTGCAATTTAACAAAAGTCATTATTCAGAAATGACCTTGTATCTTGAAAACTATTGACATTTTTAAAGATATAAGTTCACCCTGACATTACATTCATCGAGACCTTTCATTTGAGTACCTACATCAATTTTTCATATATTTTGTATATTTATATATAATATATATATGTATATATGAAAAATATATACCAAAAATGCATGTGGGTACTTAAATGAAAGCTCTTGATGAGTGTACCTTCGGGATGAGCTTATATCTTTAACATATATATGTATATATGAAAAATATATCAAAAATGCATGTTGGTACTCAAATGAAAGCTCTCGATGAGTGTAACATCAAAATGAGCTTATATCTTTAAAAATGTAAATATTTAAGAAAGTACAGTGCAATTCAATAAAAGTTATTAATTTAATTATGCAAAATTTTATTAAAAAAATATTTCATAGTTTTTTAATTTTTAATAAATAAAAATAGAAATTTTCAAGACTTATAAAAATTAAATAATACTTAATTTAAATAATTTCTAAAACAATTATCTTCAGAACAATCCATGGAATAAATATTAATTACCTGTTGCATTAAAAGTGTGAAGTCTCTTACGTCTTCTGTCACCAGGTGCTCTGGACATTTGCAGCCTGGTCAGGTACTCTCCGTGGGCTCTCTCGTACTCGGTCTGACTCACGTTAGCCTGGACATACAAAAAAAAAATTAATCAACTAAAAGTTTAGCACTCGGCAAGACCGAGACCGAAGAAGAAATAAAAGACTGAAGAAAAAGAGGAGAATTAAGAAATTTAAATGGACAAATAGTAGGCGAGACGTCGAGGTTGCTAATTACTAAATATATAATACAAGCGGAAGGATAAATTGCCTGGGTGTTTCGAGATAAGCGTGAATGATCAAGACCAAGAGAGTAAGAATAAAAATAAGAAAAAGAGAGTAAGTTATTAAGTGATTGAGATATTTAATATGTTTTAAGATAATGCTGGTGTAAGTGATGAAGATGATGATGATGATGATGAAGATGATGCTATTAAGAGTCAGTTGGGTTGTTGACATTCGCAAACATTGACCCAGTAAAATTCTCTCCGGGCTAAGTGGTCGAAAAACCGCTCGGATTGTATTGGGAAGCTAATAAAAATAAGATTTATTTAATAAAACGATTCACCGATTGAACTTAGCCCTCTTAATTGATTCTCTGCCGGGCAAACGGATTATAATTGACCCGAATGCTCGCCCTGATAATTATCTCGTATTAATATTTACTTGGGTCAAGAATCGTTTCTATTTTTATTATTATTTCTTCTTTAAAGTATCTTAATTCACAACACAATATCTTGCATCACTAAATTATCATAATCGTAATTATTTATTAATCATTTAAAACAATTATCTTTTTAACGAAATTATTTTTTTTCTTTTAATTAAGAAATAAGTAGTAAATGGATTTATTATTTATAATAGACTGCATAAAAAAGTGTATAAATATGCCAGTAAGCGGTAGTTTATTTTAAAAATATTTAAATATTGTAATTGAAATTTAAAACTAAACAAATGTGAGTTTTTAGTTTTAGTTAATTGATTTTTTTTTAGTAATTATACCGCACGGAAATTTCTCAATCCGGTGAGATTTATTGCATCAATAGCTCAAGGCTAAACCCTTTAAATTTTGTGCAACTGAAATCGATGGGCGGTACGTTTATCTGTTACTTACAATTACGGAGGTAATATTTATATTTAACTTCCTTGGAGATAAATATAATTTTATTTTCTGTTGACAAATTTTAATTTAACAAAGTTATTTCTTCTTTAAGAAGAAGTTTATCTTTTAAAAGTAATTAAAGCTCTTGTCTAATAAATTATGATTGAAAATTCAACTCAAGTCTTGAGTAATATTTTTAATATTACTCAAGACAATTTACAGAAGCGAAATTTAGTGTCATAGTTAATTTATTATGATAAGAATTGATGCTGCATTCGAAAATTCTCTTTCTCTAGATACATAATTAAGAAATTATTGTATATCTGGTGAACTATTGACATTTTTAAAGATATAAGCTCATCCCGATGTTACACTCATTGAGACCTTTCATTTGAGTACCCACATCAATTTTTCATATATTTTGTATATTTATATATATTATATATATGTATATATCAAAAATATGTCCAAAATGCATGTGGATACTCAAATGAAAGCTCTCGATGAGTGTAACATCAGGATGAGTTTATATTGTTAAAAAGGTCAATAATTAAGAAATTACCTTGTATCTTGTAAAATATTAACATTTTTAAAGATATAAGCTCATTACAATGTTACAGTTATCGAGACCTTTCATTTGAGTACCCACATGAATTTTTCATATATTTTATATATTTATATATGTATGTATATATGAAAAATATATCAAAAATGCATGTGGGTACTCAAATGAAAGCTCTTGATGAGTGTAACATCGAAATGAGCTTATATCTTTAAAATATATATTATATATATGTATATATGAAAAATATATAAAAATGCATGTGGGTACTCAAATGAAAGCTCTTGATGAGTGTAACATCAGGATGAGCTTATATCTTTAAAAACGTCAATATTTAAGAAAGTACCGTACAAAAGTCAATTATTCCTTAAAAAAAAAAAGAAATAAAACTTAATAAATTTTTTCAAATAAAACTCTAGTCAAAAAAATCTCTTCAAGTCTCAAGTAATATTTTTTGTCCCTAAAACACTTAATAAAATAATAAAAAGAAACTCCCAATAATCTACGACTTAAAAGCTTCAATTTAAGCTCAGTAAGTGTTTTAAAAATATTTATAAAGAAAATACAAATAACATATTTCCATGAAATGAAAAAAAAAAAAAAAATAAAAACAATATTAAAAACTGTACGCGGTTAAATATAATTATTAAAATTTTTTTCAGGTTTTAAACCGCGTCATAAAGGTACCGTTTATGGCGGTGGTCCTCGAGACAGTAGAATTGCTCATTTAAATCTCGTGCAAGAAGTTGAGAGTGTATTACCGACATAATGAAGAAAGAGCGTGGACTAAAAACCTCGACTGATATTAACTCAAGAAGGAACAATTTTAAAAAGTGAGTATGTGCGTCGCGACGCCTTTTCTCTCTACATAATACTCAGCATCATCAGGCTCTTTCTTCTTTTATTTCTTCTTTCAGTTATTCAGTTAACCACCACCTGGCATTTGTTTAAACTCACTTAAGCCTTACTTGAGTCGTCCAGAGCCGCTTTAGTAATCTCGAGGAGTTAAATCACTGTTTTTCGGGTGAGTTTTGACGGGTCTTTGAAGCGCCGCTCGACACATATTACAGCTAACACATAACACATTACATCCATCTTATACCATAGCTGATTGAGAGTTGTGCTCGAAAAATTAATCTTAAAAAACCAAACTACTAACGAGCTACAGTAATTATGTCTAAAGTAATCATCAAAAGTGCCCAAGAATCATTTAATTCAAGACTTAAGTAAGACTTTGTTCCAATCTGCGGGAATCTCGCATCAAATAGACTTCATCATCATCTTCTTCATACAAGCTGCTCTGACAATCTACTCTTTACTCTTCATAACTCGTTACTTCGCGACAAGTCTCAAGTAATAAGATGTTGAAGCTGAAGCAACCATTTAGTGAGGAATTTCCCAGCGACATTCCGAGCGCTCCGTTATTTTATATTTAATGTATATTCTTCCAGTTAGTACCTTTATATTTATGTTCAACTGATGTTCGATTTAATAAATGGTTATTCGTTTCATTTTTGCTGAGAAAAATTTTTAGTAGAAAATAAATACTTTAGAAAATTTATGCACAAAAAAAATAAATTATCAAAAATATTCTGGTTAAATATTAATTAATTTTTTAGTAATAATAATTAATGATGATGATCGAGTTATATCATTATAATTATAGATGATAACAAAAAATAGTTATTTAAAGCCTGGGTCAGGAGACTGTGATTTATTTGTAAGAACCGCGTAACACCTGTTGCCAATGTTTAACTTTAACTTTTGTAATTTTAAATACCAACCTCGCGTTCTTATTCTTCTTTCAAACAAGTATTTTTAAATCGATTCATTCATTTCTACTAAAGTGTTTTTGGCTCGACAATGTTAACAACACACTTGTTACCATCCAAAGTCATTTTTTCAAAGATTTTTATTTAATCAAAGCTATAAATTTAAATTCTTTTGTTGAAAATTTTTTCTTTTCTTCAGGAAAGAATTTGAGTTTTTTGAACTTTAGTTTAGGACAATATTTCCTAATTTTTAATTTATTCAAATGAGCGATTTGTAGTTTAATGAAAATTTAAATGATAAAGCGTTTAAGTTTTTAGATGTCGAAAGTGTAGGAGAGTTTTAAATTCTTGTAATATAATTTCAATGAAAATTTTGATTTCATCATTAAATTTTTAACTGTAAAATAAGTTTTTTTTTCAACTTTAGAATTTTTATATATTATTAAACAAATTTTCTATAAATTTTTTTCCATTTCTTCTTTAAGAATTTAGTAAGAAAAAGTTGTAAGTAATTATTAAGAAGAATTTACAATAATAAATATGCAAATTTCTAAAAACAAACTATTAAATAGAATTAAAAATGAAATTCTAATTATAATTTAAATGATTTAGAGTATTGTATATTAGAAAATAACAAATCTTCATTAAAGAAATAATTTTTTTGACTGAAGAAAATTTCTTCTTGCTTCAAAGTGTTCAAAAGAAATTTATTTTTTCAAGTAAATCTCTTCTTTAGAGTAAACAACTACCAAATTTGACATTTCTTCTCAAAAAATGTAATTAAAAAAAATTGTTTAATATTTTTTATGAATTTCAAAACAATAAAAAATGTGAGCTGAATAATTACTAAATTTTTTATTTCTCCTTAAAGAATTTCATTATAAAAAAAATCTTTATCAACTCTACTAATTAATACTAACTAATTAATAATTTTTTTGTTAAATTAAATTAACAACAATTACCAAATTTTTTATTTCTTCTCAAAGAATCTAATAACTAATTATTAAATATTTTTTTAATAAACTTCTGGGTAAATTTAAATTATTAAAAAAATATTCAAAATTTTCATTTCTTCTCAAATAATTTTCCAACTAATAACTAAAAAATTTTTTCATAAAATTCTAAGTAAATAAAAATAACCAAAACAATTAAAAAAAAAAAATATTTTCTTCATAACCTTTAAAGTAAATTTAAGTTACTAAAAAATTTCCATTTCTTCTCAAGTAAATTCCCAACTAACATTCCAGATAAATAAAAATAACTAAAACCCTGAAAAAAAAAATAAAAAAAGCAGAAGCCATTGGAAGAATAAATAACGTTTGATTTCCGTGTGCATACTCACATGACACATGCACAAAAGAGGGTGATAAAAGCATAGAGCTCGAAAAATAAGAGAATGGGTTAGCATATATAACATGTTGGAAGCCGGGTCGGGCGTGAGAAATACCTTTGAAGGATCGGGTATCCTCTTGAGACCGAGACCCTCCACGATGCTTCTCCTCAAGGTCTCAAGCTCATCATCGTCATCATCACGAAGCCCAGCATTGTCTCCGGTCCCCTCTTTGGGCGGCTCGTGAGCCTCGAGGCTCTCAGGTTGATGACGGTATTGGTGACGGTGGCTCTGCTGGTGCTCCATTCTCGTGGGCACCGCCAAAGTTGCCCTGAAGTGACTCACCAGTAGACTAACGAGGAGCAGCCCAGCCAGGAGGCTCGAGGGCGAGGACACCCTCAAGAACCCGAGCGACGATACCACGACAAGTGACGGGTGTCGTCGAGATGACGATGATGATGACGGTGGCACTCCTTCAGCGGAACTCCCTGAAGAAGAAGAAGAAGAAGAAGAAGAAGAAGAAGAAGAAGAAGAACTACCACAAGTCCGGCACTCACCTTCACTCTCACTGTCACTCTTTTTGCTGCAAATTTTGTAACTTTTCTTCTTGTCTTCCCTCCGTCTTCTCTTCGCCCTCACATCCTCCGCTTGCTCTTCCGTGTCTCGATTACCTGACAAGATTATTCTTATTGGATGCTCGCCCATAGCCAGGAACCACTAGCGCAAGGCGATTATTTACAATAATCGCCTGGTATATTTCTTCTTCTATATTTTTAATTATTTGTTTGTTGTATTATTTTAATTGTAGATAAATTACAGATATTGACACTTTAATTCACATGAGATCCAATTACATTGAGTCCTTCCTCCGTCATCAGCGGCTTTCTCCACGGGAATCCCGCCCCGCCAGCCTTCGATTATCTGCTTGTCCATATAAAATCTCTATAAAAGATTATATATCTCCAGGTATATTTATTCTTATATATTTATCCAAATATTTCTTCCTTATTATCAGTATTTAAATACTGTCAATTTTTTTTATTTTTATAACAAATCAATTGTTATTAAATAATTCTTATAAAAATTTTCACTTGTAATTTTTATTAATATTCACATCTGGAATTTTTTATAATTTAATTGTCATAAAAGTACTTTTTAAAATTTTCACTGGTAACTTTCTTTTAATTTTCACGTCTGGATTTTAAAATAATTTTTTTTATAATTATTTAATTGTCAAAATTTATTATTTCAACAAATTTACAATACTAAGTGTATCATACTGAAGTTAGCTATCAGCTGTCAATTTTTTTAATTTTTATTATTAAAATTTTCACTTGTAATTTTTATTAATATTCACATCTGCAATTTTTTTTTACAATTTAATTGTCATAAAATGATAAAAAAAATTTTAATGTCATAAAAGTGCCTTTAAAAATTTTCACTGATAATTTTCTTTTAATTTTCACGTCTGGATTTTTTTTATAATAATTTAATTGTCATAAAATTAATTATTTCAATAAATTTAGTACAACACTGAAGTTAGCTATCAGCTGTCAATTTTTTTAATTTTTATTATTAAAAAATTCTTTTAAAAATTTTCACTTGTAATTTTTATTATTATTCACATCTGGAATTTTTTTTTTAATTATTTAATTGTAAAATTATAAAAAAATTTTTAATCTGTCAACTTCAATGTTATAAAAGGATAATACTGAAGTTAGCTGTCAGCTGTTAATTTTTTTACTTGTAATTTTATTAATATTCACTTGTCAAATTTTGTTATTTAATTTTTTTTATAATTTAATTGTCATAAAATTATAAAAAAATTTTTAATGTCATAAAAGTGCTTTTAAAAATATTCACTGATAATTTTTTTTTTAATTTTCACATCTGGAATTTTTTTAATAACAATTTAATTGTTAAAAAAAATTTACGTCAGTTAACTTCAGAGTTATGTATTCAAAAAAATCATCCACCATTTGCACTTTTTAAAGTAAATAACTAAAAAAAAAAATTCACTTGTTTTAATTTTCCCGCCAAAAATTTTGACACTTACTTTGAGGTTAAGCACTGAGTGAATTTAAATGTAAATTGTGATTGTTATTATAAAGAAAATATTTGTAATTTTTAATAAGAAGAAATATTGTTAATAAAAATAGTTTTTAGTACAGGTTTGTCTCCTCCGACTGCCGCGTGTCGACTGTGAGGAGTCATGTGTGCTGGCCCGTCTATATAATAAGTGGGCTCCCGCTCTCGCCGCTGAGTTGTCGGGAGGCACGAGACACTCGCTTTGTTTTTCTCTGTTTCACTCGGTCCGCGAACCACTGATCCATCTTCCTTCTCGCTCGGATCTCTGAAACAAACAATTGTTAATATAATAATAATAATAAGAGAGTACTTGCGTATTGCCCATGACTCGATTATTGCGCCCTCGCTATTCAAATAACACCAGTGTAAATGTTTGTGTCCGTAACGGAATTTACCTTCGTCGGAACTCGGATTCACTGGAACCAACCTCTCAGGGGATGTCCCGGTGACTATTCAAGGCAACTTCAAGGCTTCAGCGCTTTTTTATTTTTACGTTTTCGAGGTAATTATTTATGTTCTCAGTAAAGGTGATTATTGATTTTTAATTGCTGGAAGCTTTTTTTTTTTTTGTCAATAGTTTAAAGTTTAACTTTGTTTGATTGTTCCAGGTATTTATACTAGGTGGAATTTTATTTGAGTCATGATTGGAATATGAAGCTGTCGAAAATTGGTGATCGTAGTTAGTAAAAAATTTTTTAATTGTTTTAAGAGGAAATTTAGTGTCTTTAATTTGTGCTTTTTCAAGATTTCATATCATTCTCACTGATAGTTCATTTATTATGATAAGTATTTAGGCTGCATTTGAAAATGCTCTATCTCTAGATACTTAATTAAGAAATGAACTTGTATTTTGAAAATTATTGACATTTTTAAAGACATAAGCTCATCCCGATGTTACACTCATCGAGAGCTTTCATTTCGATGAGTATAACATCGAGGATGAGCTTATATCTTTAAAAATGTCAATAATTAAGAAATGAGCTTGTATCTTGTGAAATATTGACATTTTTAAAGATATAAGCTCATCTCGACATTATACTCATCGAAACCTTTCATTTGAGTACCCACATAAATTTTTCATATATTTTGTATATTTATATATATATTATATATATGTATATATGAAAAATATATTAAAAATACATGTGGGTACTCAAATGAAAGCTCTTGATGAGTGTAACATCGGGATGAGTTTATATCTTTAAAAAGATCAATATTGAAGTAAGTACAATGCAATTTAACAAAATTCATTATTTAATAAAGCAAAATTTTATTTATTTATCGTTCACAAGTCACGGCAGTCACATAGTGACTGCAAGGTTGCTAGTTAGGATGATTTACATAATTTATTCATAGTTTTCAAAACAAAATTACCACGGCGTAATTTATGCTTACGTTAATTGGTGACGGGAACTTTAGAATTAAGACGGAGATTTTGTTTGGACAATTTAATTAATTGAAGATTATTTTATAACAAAATTTTTATGAACACTATAATAGATCATGAAAATTGTTTGATATTAAATGTTCTATTTTTACGTGAAGAGATTTTTAATTAAGAACAGGAAATATTGATTGAAAACTCTAATCAATAATTTGGAAGAACGAAATATATATAATAGGAAGAAAATAAAAAACTTTCTCCGTACTTTGAATATTTAACCCGACTGTACCAAGAACTTATCAGTTATTAAATTACCGGATGAAAAAAAATCGAAAAATAACTCCCCAAAATATTCTTCAATGTCGATTTAATTATTGGCTTACATTTCTTTAATATTCCTCAGCAATAATTGTTATTGATTTTTAATTACATCCTAAAAGTTTATTTTTTTATTGAAGGTACTTGTCATTTTTTAATTACCAGATAAATAAAAAATTCAATCCTCCAAGTGATCAGAAGAGAAGAAATAGATTTTTTATCAACTTAATGTTAACTTAAGTTTGTTTGCTTAAAATTAACAAATAATTTTTTCTTCATTTTATATAAACACACTTGAAGTATTTTCTAATGATTGAATTGATTAATGATTAAAATTACCATAATTTATTCATAATAATCTTCACAACAAACTAGATAATTAATGGTTATACTACTTTGTTGCGACAAAATTGAGGTTAAAGTGGACAATGCAGGCCAAAAATCAATGAAGAAAACAATGCGAAAGATTAAGATAAGAAGAACATTTAAATAATGGGGTTGCAAGCGGACATGTGATGATTTCATACCTTTCCGGGACATTATCGACCAGGAATTTCACAGAACCACTACGCAAGAGTTTATTCTTGTCTATGTGAAATGGTCTGAAGTAAAAAAATTAAATAAGGTGAAGAATGTGTGTAGAACCTTGTGATATAAAAGTCCCATAAATTATTTTCTCGTAATTACGACGTTAATAATTGATGTAGGGTCATTACGCGTTAATTTATAAAACACACATTAAAATCTTATTATTATTAATAATAATAATAATATTAACATTTTTTAGGATTGTTCATTGGGGTAATTTGAGTTAATATCTCAATATGATCATGACCAACTTCACGTTAAGCTGATTAGTCATCGTCACTAGAGTTGATAGTCATCCTATCGTGATCATAATGATAATCACGTAACATGAAATAAAATTTTATATGCACCGGGCAGCTCTTGATACTTTTTAACTAACTCTTCTATTCATGGAAGCTGAATTTATTAAAAGAAAACTCCATTTACTCTACAATATTATATAATAATAATAATAATAATAATAATAATAATAATAATGATAATAGTAATAATAATATACAACGATCTAGTGAATTGACATCCACAAGACAGCAAAAAATAGAGAGTATGATAAACTTACTTCATTGTTGAACTCTTGAGTACTCTGACATTAAATAAAACCGTGTGTTGCGTAACTGAGAGTGCAGTGTTTGCCGACCGCAATAAACTACAACTACTTGTTATTATTTATTATTATTATATATGAAGAACTATTTGGATTAATTTTTTTAATTATTTAATTTAATTTTATTAGAATAATCTTTTTTTTTATTTTTAAAAAACAAAATTTTATTTATTTATTATTATTATTATTATTATTATTATTATTATCATTGTTATTATTACTATTTTTAATGTTGGTATTATTAACTACTAGATATTCCAAATTTGATGCATGAATAATAATAATAATAATAATAATAATAATAATAATAATAATAATAATAATAATAATAAAAATGGTAATTGTTCAAAAATTTTAGTAAATTTCATTATTATTATTGTTATTATCATTATCACTATTATTATTATTATTTTAATTATTATTATTATTTTTTTTTAATTAATAATTTATTTTTAATAATAATAATAATAATAAAAAAATGGCAATTTTTCAAAATTTTAACTAAATATCATTATTATTATTATTTTTATTGATATTACTATTATTAATCCATATTTAAATTAATAATTTATTTTTAATAATAATAATAATAATAAAAATGGCAATTTTTCAAAATTTTAAGTAAATATCATTTTTATTATTATTATTTTTATTGATATTGATATTGTTAATCCATATTTAAATTAATAATTTATTTTTAATAATATTAATAATAATAATAAA